CTGCATTAAAAGAAAACGATCCAGCTTTGAGCAGGTTGGGTTTTCCTGAAAGTTAGTCCAAGTAAAGATGGCTTGAAGTAATGGGAATTCCTTCAACTCACAAAGATTGACCAGGTCATTGAACTTCTTCATACCGGTTGAACATCCATCCAGAAATGTTTGGAAGCATGCATATGTAATAACAAGCCACGAGAAACTTCAAGGAGGCGATGGTTCTTTCTTCTAGCAACACTGCTCTGTTGAGGTGTTTTAACACAAGAACTTTGATGAAAAGAGCCGCATGAGGCAAAAAATTCTGTAAGATCACTATGAATTATTCTTTTGCATTGTCAAACTAGAAGATGTGAATCTCAGTCTAAAATTGGGTAAATACCATGCATTGAAAATTTTGCACAATCTTCGGAACCTCATCACTGGATCGCATTGGATAAACCAGATATATCAAGAATAGTCATCAATCTGTGATAAAGTATTTATAACCTGTTTCATAAGACAAAGAAACAGGGCCCCAAACATTAGAGTAGATAATATGAAAAGGAAAATTAGATCTTTTATTTCTCAAAGGAAAAGAGTTTCTACAATGCTTGCTCAACTGACATGTTTAACACTACAACTCATTTACTGACAAAGACTTGAATAAATATAGAAACACAATTTTTAAAGACTCAAATGACAAATGGCCAAGATGAATATGCCATAAATAGGCATAACTCTTACTAGATTGACTTCATAGWCTCTAAAGCAACGAGACTAGCTTTATTCTCCAACACATACAAATCATTCACCATATTACCTCTACCAATGGAAAGTAAAGGTTATTGAACAATTTAAGGAATGAGTAATACTACTAATGGAAAGTAAATTAATAGGTAACTTAGAAACGTGTAGCACATCAGAAAGTGCAAGGCCAAAAGAAAGGGAGATAGTTCCTTGACCAACTATGATAGARAACGACCCATTAGCTAGTACCACCTTGTATCTCCTAGAGAGGTTATATGCCTAAAACAAGTTAGACTTACCCTTCATGTGATTTGAGGCCCTAGAGTAAATGATCCAAGGAGATTCAGATGTAAGAGATGACACATGGAAAGAAGTGGCAAAGTTACCTAATGCAGATGCAAAGGAGGTAGATGAAGTAGGACCACAGTCCATCTAACAAGCGTCCTAGCATACAGTTCCAAATGATCACGAAAAGAGTTGATAATCTCTTCCTTTGGATCATAAGCATAAAGATGATCCTGAGATATAGTGGTGCAAGTGGTCTCGAGTTGCCACATTTGCTGAATTATATACTTCATTTGGCTTTGCTGGCCTGGCTTCTTATTTTGATAAAATGATTTTTTACTTAACTTCTAAGCCCACTTCAACTTCCCATGAAGATCCCAAAAATTCTCTCTAGTGTGCCTACACCATTGACAATGAATGCACCAAAGTTTGTCCTTGTCCTCGACTCTTTTCTAGGAATCACCCTTCTTAAAGGAGTTACCACCATTCGCATTAGTACCACACCAAGCTATCAAAGCAACTAGCTCCCCCTCAGAATTATTCATCACATTTCCACATTTCTTCTACTTTCTTATGATTGCACTAAAGCATAAACTTCTTAAACTGAAGGGAGATCTTTACTTCCGAGGATTTGAACCCTAATAAATTCACACATAGAGTTCAACCCCAAAATAAAGGCAAACACCTTCTATTAGGAAACTAGGGTTTTGTAGGCATTAGCATCATTATCACATTTCCAATTCATATTTTGGTAGTGATCCAGCTCCTTCCAGATTGAGGTCAAATCTGAATAATACATTGAAAGACTTCTCTCCCCTTGGTTGCGTGTAGTAGATGTAGCTTGCAACTAATAGATTTTTGCATAGYGTCTCTGTTTTGAATAGGTGCTTTTTGTTTGCTCCCAAATTTCAACAGTTGTTCAGCCCACATAAAGTTTCTTCTCACTTGTGGGAGGATAGATACAAGCAACTATTACATCACCATACTATTTCCCATTTGCCATGTTCAGCACTCCCAGACTTTGTTTCTTTAACTCTCCCATTGATATACCTTATCTTTCCCCTTGCAGTAATATAGAGTTTAATTTCTTTCAACCACCCTGGATAATTAAGGCCATCTAGAGGGATAACAGCCATGGGAAAGGTCAAGTCCATACTCCCACTTAGTCCACCTTGGCTAGAAGACATACCCAAGGTAGTTGTATTCTTAGAGGACATGGTGTACAAACCAAAGAGTCACTTTTCAGCTACAAATCAAAGGTCTCAACCACAAAAAAAGAAAGGTCTAGGACTACTGTATTAGCTAGCCAGAAAAAAGTGCACACCCCTGACAAGACAAAGACAGCACTGTTGTGGGGCCAGAAACACAGAAAGTACTAGGTTCTCCACCAGACCAAAAAACAAGATAAACAGGCCCTACGATCAGCCATTCACTTAAAGGGCCACACTATTACCACAGTCACCACAGCTGTTACAGCCACCACTGGTCATACTTGATCTAAAACCTCCACCCACTTGGGTACAAAAGGATCACATGATCCATATAGGTGCTAAACACCACCAAAAACTTCACAGCATTCAGTCACCACAAGCCAGATTTATCTTGGCACACGACCAAGAAATAAAAAGGGAAAGAAGATAGAAACTACTCACATATCAATCTAATGTACTTTCTCCTGAGATCAATATGAAAATCAGAAAGAAGGGGAAAAAATAGTTCAATCTGTCTTCAGGCCCACAAAACCTGCTCTGATACATGTTTTCTTGATAAAAATAAAGAAAAACCAGAACAAGAAGGAAGAGTGAGAGAGAGGAGAAGAGAGGAAGAGAGAAGCCAAAAATCTTGGCTGGCAGCACCAGCTTTCCATTATATACTAGGGCGACATAATAAAACAATAAAAGTATGTAAAAAGACCACAGTACCCCTGCGGCCCATAATACACTAAGTATTAACAGTTTTAACAGCATATACTCAAGAACGTGAAGAAAAGAAGCCAAACCAGAAAGAAGAATACAGCAAAGAAAGAATGGTTTTACCTTTTTCACACAACAATGTCTCTCCATCCGTATCCTTTGGCCAATGATAAATTCTTGATCACTGCAAAAGGAACAAACTGCAAATCAGAACATTGTAGAGGTAAAATTAATAGGAATAAATAAATAAGCACATCAATTCTGCAGATCTACAGAATTTATAAATCACATTATTTTATTAAACCGTTTTTACCCAGTGGCAATCATTTCTCTGAACGAGGGTATTCCTGTAACACCTTGTAGCATGCAAGCATGGGTTCCCATTTAGGTTAAAGTTCATTCTAGAAGAAATATCTAACCAGCTCCAGAGTTGCATTCTCGAAAACAGTTTCGCTACAGTAAACGGTTGGCCCTGTTCTGATAAACAAGAAGCAACGTCAAATGCTAGTGCAGACAACTATAAAACTAACTTTGATGAAAACAAGACCAACAACCTGTAGACTGTAAAAGTCTATTCTATATCAGATGCAACAAATAGAAACTTAATATATATATATATATATATATATTAAATGCTAGTGCAGACAACTATAAAACTAACTCTGATGAAAACAAGACCAACAACTTGTAGACTGTAAAAGTCTATTCTATATCAGATGCAACAAATAGAAACTTAATATATATATATATATATATATATATATATATATATATATTAAATGCTAGTGCAGACAACTATAAAACTAACTYTGATGAAAACAAGACCAACAACYTGTAGACTGTAAAAGTCTATTCTATATCAGATGCAACAAATAGAAACTTAATATATATATATATATATATATATATATATTAAATGCTAGTGCAGACAACTATAAAACTAACTCTGATGAAAACAAGACCAACAACTTGTAGACTGTAAAAGTCTATTCTATATCAGATGCAACAAATAGAAACTTAATATATATATATATATATATATATATATTAAAACAAAGCCCTCAAACTAGAGAAGTTCTCTCTAAGACACAGTGGTATCTTATTTTCTCAAGAAAGAGCATCTGAAAAGTGACTAGTCCCACTCTCTAACAAAAACTTCCTTCCTCAGACGTGTCTACCCACTCAAAAAAGAAGTGGAGGGTCATTCTCTAGTTTAGAATTAAATTAAATGATTAAATGTCAATAATATTTTAAGTTAAAGAATAAACCAACCAAGAATATAGAATTTGCAGCAGTCTGAGTAAATAACATGTTTAGTAGTGAACCCATCCTGTCCATTTCTTTTTCTTATTTTAGCCTGTATATACATGCTCATAAATTACAATGCCATATTAATGTAGCATAAAGGTAAAGTCTTCTGCCTGGAGAAATGAAAATTAAATCAAGAAAAAAAAAATGCAAACCCAATATGACTAATATACCATCCATTAACAGAAAAGAAATGAATTTAGGTCAAACATATTTTTTAGGCCAATATTTTTTTTATCAATTTTTTGACCAATAACAGAATTTCATTAAAATTAATATAGAACAGTTACAAAATAGGAGAGGTAAACTTTTTTAACTCTCCATAACAGAACTTAGCTATTACAATTGAGCTCAAAACAAATGACTCCTTCCCACACCCTTGCTTTTTTATCAATAACAGAATTAATTTTGAGGCCAATTATTCACATAAGAATTCCTGAAGCATCCAAAAGTTAGAGAGAGACTGGTCCAATCTAAATATCAATATCTACCTGTCTCGTAACACCAAGCCGCAAATGTCATAGTTGCAGTAGACCATTCCATCATACTTTGTTGGCTGTTCTGTCCCCACCTTTTATTCTAGAAGAAACAATAGGTGCTCCAAATACTTCTCACTAACAATATCCTGCTCCACTTCTGAAGACATACCGCTAAGGCTGCAAAAAAGGTGGAGATAACCAAACAAATGCCTTATTCTCTGTGAAGAACTAAAACACTAAAAACTCATAAATTGGCAATGACAAGCAAATTTTAAGTGATAATACATGTTCAATACTTCAATCTATCTCCAGAGATTGCAATTGGCACTAAAGCGGGAAAAAACAATATAATGAAGAGAAAATATTGTTTGTTTACCTTGCTTTTAAGATTCATTAAAACTAAATGGTTTTTAGTTCCACCAGAGAGTCAGAGACAAGCTCATAGCCCTACTTTAACAAGCTCCACAAAATTGGTGCGCTTCAGAAACAAAGTAGAATACTTATATTAACAAAACAATATCAGGCAGAAATTATAAATCTGCATTCAAAAGAAAAGACTAACATTGGAGGCAGGAACACAATGATTATATAAAATTTATGGAAATACCCATAGCTATACTGGGCAAGCTTTAAGCAATTATATTTTTTAAGGCAAAGTTTTTTTACTGCTGAAGGAAAACCCGATTACAAAACACACTCTCAARACTGACATTGATGGCTAATATACAGTTAGAGATTGTATAAAAGAACTTGTTCTCAATAGGCTTTGTACCATGGAGGCAATGCCCTCACTAAGTAACAGATGAATCTACATGAACTCGACCACTTTTCGAAAGGCATAAATATACACATAGGTAGACCTTGATCTACTTCTGTCATATTGAATGTAAAGGACTAAACTTGACTGAAGAAGAACAACAAGAAAAACAAATGTGAAAAAATAAAACAGAAAACCCCTAGCCAAGCTCATTTCCAAGTAGAATCCTGAGTTCAAAAAAGTGAATACCTAATAAAAAACCATTTGAAACAGAAAAAAAAAAGACAAACTAAACTTTGGTATCTTATAAGTCAATCCCCTAATAAAACATGCTCCCAAGAAACACATTCACAAGCATGAACTCTGATTTCTAATCACTTTAAATAGAGAACAGCTTGCAGCCTAGAGGATCAATGGAATTGCTCGCGAATGAACTTCGATCAATGAAACTGTTTCCTTGAATGGTTCAATTGATTGTAGGAGGGAGCAGAATGCTTTGATTGATATAATTAATTAGATGACTGTGAAACTGATACATTTCATACAGATGCTTCCATTCTTTCATCGTCATTGTTATGCTCAGGTTCATTACTTGGCGGAATAAACACCGTCTCTTCATCAGATGATAATTGTCCCATATGACTTGGGATGGCACCTACAAGAGAGAAAATGTTTGAGCTACAGTCAAAAAGAAAACAAAATTTGTGAATAATTATTATATTTATACTCACCCAGCTTTTGAGAAAGTAAAATTGAACATGTACGCCTTGTGTGCCCTGCCTTGTTACAATGCCCACAATTTCTTTTCTTTACCTCATCATTAGTCTTCAGTCTCTTGTTACTAGGATCACCTTTTGTCTGAATTATGGAAGGATCATGAATAGGTTCCCTAACAAAATTCCAAGACTGAGGAGGTGTAGTGCTTCTCTCACCTACTTGATCTTTTGAAACTGAACTGGTTTGTACACTTTCTAAGCTTTCCACCAATTTATGTATGCCAACAATTGCCTGTTGAAATCCTTCTAATGATTTTGACCCCAAGTAACACAAACGATTGCACATGTTTGTTAGCTCAGCATATCGAATCGTACATGCAAATTCAGGGCTTATTTGCATGGTGGAGCTAAGGTTATTTAACTCAATACCAGATCTAGCATGTTTTGTCCATCTTTTCTTAATACAACTTGCAGGAATATCTCTAAGTTGCTCCACCTTAAAAACAGCAATCATATGCCCACAAGGAAACCCAGTCCCTTCAAACACCAAGCAAGAACATGTTGCTTTTTTCTCAAGAGCATCATATGAAACTGTCCATGAATGTTCTGGATGTAAAAATTCAGAAATAGTGTGAATATGATGATGTTCGCCATGCCTTTGAGTTTCCGCTACAAAAAAACTTTGTTCCTTCTTAAGTTCCTTACAAAACTCCACATATGAACTCTTAGTATATGTGGCTCCCATTTGAGCTCGATAACTTTTTAAATGATCCTCAACAACTGGTTGTGTCACCATTGATTCAAAATCCTCTCTTGCCTCACGAGAACGACTACGCGATAGAGCTAATTCAAAATCATGGATGAACTCAATAAAGTTATCTTTTACTTTCAAATATCGATTACAATATGCATTCTGACTCTTACATCGTTGAGTGCTCCTCATTCCTGCAAAAAATTGGCCCCTTAAGTATGCTTCTGCCCAATGTTTTCGTTTACCATAGATCTGATTTATCCATTCATGTTCACTTAAATTGTATCTTGCTAGCATTTCCATCCATGCAAGCTCAAATTCTTGAGGTGTTCCTTCTAAATTCATGCATTTGTTAAACTCCTCAACAAAGCCATCAATTTTCACATTCGCCGATGCATTCCGACTAAGGTGCCATGAGCATAATCGATGTTGACATCCCAAGAATACCTTTTGGATTGATTTAGCCATTGCTATATCACCATCGGTGATAACAGAATTGGGAATTTTTCCATTCATTGCTTTCAAGAATGTTTTCAATGTCCATTCATATGATTCAGTTGTCTCATCCGCTAATAAAACACATGCAAATACAATTGTCTGGTGGTGATTGTTCACTCCAACAAAAATGATAAGTGACTTATTATAAATGTTAATCTTACAAGTTGAATCAAATACCAAAACATCACCAAAGCAACAATAATCTGCACGAGATCTTGAATCTGCCCAGAATAGATTATCGAGATGCTTTTCTTCATCAACGGTATATTCATAAAAGTATCCAGGATCGTCCTCAATTTTGGATTCCATAAAATCTAATATTGTTTCTTCATCCCCATCTTTTACAAGATCTCTTTTTTCTGAATCAACAAAATCTTTTACAAGATCTCTTCTTTTAACCTTTACATTCTGTCGAACAGGAACTAGAGCCTTGTCAGCCTCACTTAATGCTCTATGTGATTTCATGAACATTGAATTAGGGGTAGGTGCAAGTTCATGTGTATGTTCAGCAACGAAGTCAACCACCACCAATTTCTTCAATGTTTTGTCATATTTAACACGAAGAGTCGCATGACAATCAAATCTTGTTAAGCGTCGAGGTGGCCGTTGACGATTTTCACGATTAAGGTATTTTTGGCTCCTATGTCCTTCAGCAGCACATACAAATCGTTGAGACAAAATACATCCATCAACAACTCTCTTATCATCTCTCCGAACACTAAACCCTATCTCCCTTGCATATGAATTGTAAAATTTCCAGGCTGCCTCAGCATCTTCAAATTTCATTCCCATTATGTCTTCTGAAGTTAATTCTGCCCATGTCTTCTTAGAGATTCCATCAAATGAATTGCCACCTAATGAAGCATTACCCTCCATTGCACATGACAAGTCAACGTTTACATCATCATTTGAGTTATTTATTACTTCTTTACCTCGATCCATACCTAACAAAAATAAAATTATCAGTTAATTGGGTGAGAATTTGTCAATAAAAATATCCTATAAAATACCAATATATAAAAAAAGGCCAATATCTACATGAAGTAAAAGACAGATGTGTCCTTTTTATTCCCCTAACCCCAATATATTATGCTATCTATCTATCTATCCAAAAGACAAGATATAAGTAGAAAAGATATATTATCGGCTCAATCTACCAAATAATGCATAAACTTGAAACATGTGAATATGGTAATACAAGGTAGAGAACAAAAAGGTGCAGCCTCAATTTGTCCAATACAAAGTGAAAATCCTACTCTATCCTAGACATAGAACCAAGTGGTAAGATATGAAAATGAAGAGAAAGAAAATGCAAATATTATATTAAAATTACAAAATTAAAGAGTTTATCATTAGAAATAGCGATTTCAAAGACAGGACTCAACATTCCCAAATTTCAGGACTGAACATGTTAATCACATTGACTACCCAAACCTAAAACATCATAGGTGCAAAGAACCAAATTCATCAGAGATCACAGAAGGCAGCAACCATGCAACAAAACACACCCCAATTCTGGCCACTGATTAGAGAACCAAGGATCCCTAGTAAGATGGTTATGAATTAATGATTTAACAACATAATTCTATTTATGAAAGAAAGCAAAACTTATAAACAACGCACTTGCTTCAAACATCAATTCCACCTTTCTGTTATTGATTTTAAGGAATACTATAGATTATAATTGCAAAAACAGGCAATGTTATCATTAAGCTCAAGTTTTAGATAGAGGAAAAATGAGTTGAGCACCACAAAGGAACAAGGTCTTTTAAGAAAACATCAAATATTGAACCAGAAAGAATAAACAAACCAGGGGTTGTTGCTTAGTGTAATGGTAAAATCTCATGCTGGCAAGCACGAGAACGCAGGTTGAAATCTGCGAGCAGCCAGTTAGTGAAAAAAAAAAAAAGCAAATGTTAGGACTGGATCCAGTCTACCCCTTCGAAGACCCCAGATATCTCTAGAAGCAACATGGGTAATGGCCTTTTAAAGAATCAATAACATCTCAGTTCATGTTTATTGCACAAGAAGCTAGAACAGAAATTATTTCAGCTCCTAGATTAGATGAACCATAAAATATAGTTCAGAAAGAAACAAAATAAGAATATTCATGCTAATCGCTTGGTAAAAGGATCAGTAAATCAACTTTATTCATTAGTAAAAGGAGAGGTTTGGATCTGGAGCCCTTGGAGTGTGTAATGTGCAGCAGGGATGAAGAGTCAACAGGTCAACTGTTTCCACATTGTAGAGTTGTGGGTCTCTTGTACAACCATTTATGTAGGCTCTTCAATGTTAGTCCAAGGGATCTATTCAATCTGTTCAAATCCTGAAGCTAGCACACCTAATCTAGAAGGGTAAGGTGCATTGGAATGATTCCTCTTGTAGCCCAGTTGGGTTATTTGAAAAGCAAGGAACTAAAGAGTGTTCAAGAACAGGGGAGGAGATCTGAGAATGAGATGGTGTGTTGGGCTGTGGCCACTGTACACTCATGGCTGTCAGCTAATGAAATTTAGAGTTCCACACCACGGGTTTTTTTAACATAGCATACTGTTTAGTTGATAAACAGGCCTATATTAGAGTAATATTTTGGATTTTTTTCTTTTTTCTTTTTTTTTTTTTGGATGGGGGGGGATTGGTTTTAGTTGCCCTAGTTGATGTATAGTTTCTGGTAGTACATGTCTCGAACATGGTTTATACATAATCTATACATGTAATCATGGATCATTTCAGTGGAAGCTAATAGAATACCTTACCGTTTCCTCGAAAAAGAATTTATTCATTAGGCTACATCTAGAAATTACAAAATGCAGATAGGCAGTTCGCATGGATTCTTTTTTCTTTCTCTATCTCTCCCTCATTTCTCTCTTCAGAAGAGGAAGAGAAATAACAGTGGGGATTGGAGCAGCCCAAGCCCAGAGAAGATGCACCTTTATTCATCTACAAGTATGGAGAAAAGAGAAAGGGAAAAAACAAATCCTGCCAAAATGCATTCCCCCAAGCATTGAGTGATTCACATTTATTACCACCAGCTTTTACTTCTCCATTTCATTTCATATCCTGCCTGAGAAAGGGAATCTGCTTGGAATTAGAGTGACAAGACTAACAATTGTGGTTCCAGGGCTTCTTATTTGATCTGTGGAAACATCAAATCCTCCAAATCATCTTCAACCAGCATGTAAAATACCACTTCATTTAAATCTTTCAATGCTTGTGTTCTTCTATTTGTCAATTGAGATAATAGTGTTTCTTAAAACAAAGGATCAGTAGTTAAGCAACTCCATCTCTATGTAATACATCTATTCCCTGTTTTAAGTTGCAATATCTTCTGTATTGCTGCTGCAGCTTAAATAGTAACTAGTAAGACCCTCTATCAATACACCTACAGTTGGCCCAGATAGCATGTGTCATGCAGGGCATGGTAATCATAACACACAATTGGGTTTACAATGAATTTGATGACCAAAATATACTATAGATGTTGTCTAGGTCAATCTCAATGCTTCAATGGCATGATTCACTGCTGAAGCTTTTGCAGCAAATCCATGCTCATGGCGTAACTTAAGTAGTGCCCTACTAAAAAAAAAACTATCGGAACTTATATGTAATTAGTGGATAATCCTTTTTACAGGTATTTTCAAACAAGTTAGAAATCTGAACRGGCTTAAAGTCTATTATGAGAGGAGTGCTGTTTGAACTTGTAAGAAGGTGATGGTTCTTGATTTTTCATGATATGTCAGGGATACAATTCCCTCCCCCCCCCAGAAAAAACAAAACAAAAAATAGTCACAATATGTCAGTTTTGGTTGTATTAAGTTCCTCCACAGCTCTACATGAACATCTATTCAGTGTTGGGTTCGCATTATACCTAATGAAATATTCACGATTAAAAAAATAAAAGGTAGTACTGATTCCTGTTGATACATATCTATTTTACACATGACAGCAAAGATCTTGGTTCATCCAAATTATGTCACTGCAATTTTTGCCCAAAGTGTCCAAGATACGTGCCTCTATCTCAACAAAGAGGATTATGGTAGCTGATGCTACAATGTTGTGAACTCAAAGTTTGAAGATTCTTTTGGGGTCAAGAACCCACCCATCTTTCTGCTCACGCCAGTAATTCTGGCATGCCACCCTTTCTCTATTAAGCAATTCTCTCTCTCTCTATAATTTTCTTAAATCAAACCATACCTTTTTGTCAATCATTTATTAGAGTGCCATCCTCTCTAAAGTTGAAGTTGGAAAGAAAAGGTGAAGAGAATGGAAAAAGGACAGAGATAAACAGAGGAAATTATCAGAGATAAAGGAGAAGGCGAACAGTCAGATTGAAGAGAAAGACGATGAGCTTGCTTCTTTTAGTAGCAAAATGGTAAATTTAAAGAAAACTTGAAGGTTGGGTAAAGTAAATTCTGAGAAACAACATAGCAGAGAAGATTAAAGATTGTAAACAGAAGGGGAGTTGAAAAGTTGTAGAAAGAGAAGAATTAAATTGAATGGCATGTTCTCCTCATAAGTCAAATGATTTTTCATGGGGCCCACCTCTATAAGAAAAAGGGAAGCAAGACAAATTAATAGCTCAGAAGGGGGTTTAAAAGCTAAAATGAACAAGGGTAGTTTTGGAAAATTGGCTAAAAACAAATGGAGAAAAGATATTCAGGAAAGAAGAAGAGGAAGAGATTCTATTTGGGTAGTTACCAAGTTCCAAGATCAATGGAGAAGAGAAAAATGTTAAGAGATTGTGGCAGCCAACTTTAGTGTTAAAGATAAATCTAAAAATGATAGAAGACCAAAAATTGGTGGAGATGAAATAATGGAGAAAGAAAAGATGGTTCACAAATGTTTTTCCAATGTCCAAGTCTAAGCTGACTTGAAATAGCAGGGTGGAGGGAGATGAGTCAAAGACAAGAAGATGAAAGTCTTCAGTTAATACAGAGCAAAGGAGTTGATGGTAGGAGTAGGGCAGAAGCTAGTGTGATCTCCTCTAATAATCACACTAAGGTGGATGAGAAAAAAGATGATGCGGGAATAAATAAGATCAAAAAGGTAAGATTTCCTAATCCTAATTAGAAAAGAGTGAGGATGGAGTCAAGAGATTGGTCTTAGTAATAGAGTTTTGAGTGAGAGGTTGATGGATTGGAGACAGAGATTGACAAGAATACTCTAGCTGAAACAGAAAGTTTTCTGCACTTTTGGAAAGGGACTTGCAAGAAATTGATTGTGTTCAAGAGAAGGGAGATATTTTTAATAAAAATGAGAGTATCCATGGTGATTCCTTACAGAGTGGGAATGTGTAATGAATAGGGTGATACACTAGGTTAGAACAATGGGCATCTTCTCACATCTATGTTTTGATGATATTTGAAGAAACTGAGGCAAGGTGGCGAGAAGCTCCTTAAGAAAGAAGTGGTAACCTCCGACTGTTGACTTGACCAAGCTAAACTTTGATGGGAGAAACCTTGGTAATTCAGGCCCTCATGAATAGGAGGGGTGTTTTGAACAAAGATGGACATATTGTTGCATTGTTCTCAGGTCCAGTGGGTTTGGGGGACTCAATCTGGGCTGAATTCTTGGCAGTAATTCAAAGGCTGCAGATAGCTAAAGAATTGAACTTGAATAAGCTGATTGTTGAAGGTGACTCCAAGATAGTGGTGCAATGACTATAGAAGCCAGAGACTATTTGGGTGTATAGGAATGAAAATAAGAATTAGGAAAAGCTATTGAAGACAATGAGAAGAATTAGAGAAGCAAGAGATAGAGGCTGAGGTGAATTCTAACAAAGTTAGATACATGGAGAAGAAGATTGAAATCGAAAAATTAGTTGAGTAGGAAATTATAGTAAAAACGTTGGGACTTTTTTTCTTGGGAGGTGAGGATTTTGCAAGAAGAGCTTTTTCTTCTAGTTGGTGAAGAGAATCAAGCTGTTGCCAATTCAATACTTTGGAAA